CCACTACGACTATAGCTCTAGTACTATAGCCCTACTACTAATATACTATTGATGTAAATGACATTGGTTTTATTGGGACCCATGTTCTCTATCCTTGAACCACTACTACTAGTACAGCCACTACGACTATAGCTCTAGTACTATAGCCCGCGTACATTGACTGCCGCAGGCCTATAGCACATTGTCGGCTGGAAATACTAACTGCAACCTGTCATCACCTGTCCCCACAAAAAATGGATCGCAAAACGCAAAATTATCGGGCTTTTTAACACTTACCGGTATCTATCTACGTGGACATCTCACCTATCTTTTTGAACACTTTACACAACTTTACACCATGTATTTATCCTTTTATTCCACAAAGTAAGCACTACTGGAAATTCCCGTTTGAAATTCTGGCGTGCGTACGCGTGACATCACCGGTATTGTATATACATGCCATGTGTTTTGCCTACAGATCCGGTGCATGTATATTATACAATACCGGTGACGTCACGCGTATGCACGCCAGAATTTCAAACGGGAATTTCCAGTAGTGCTTACTTTGTGGAATAAAAGGATAAATACATGGTGTAAAGTTGTGTAAAGTGTTCAAAAAGATAGGTGAGATGTCCACGTAGATAGATAAGTGTTAAAAACCCCGATAATTTTGCGTTTTGCGATCCATTTTTCGTGGGGACAGGTTGCAGTTGGTATTTCCAGCTGACAATGTGCTATAGCTCTGCGGCAGTCAATGTACGCGGGCTATATTACTAGAGCTACTACGACTAGTAGTAGTACTACTAGTACTAGGGGGCCTACTACTAGTAGTACTAGTAGTACTAGGCCTACTACTAGTAGTACTAGTAGTACTAGGCCTACTACTGCTACTACTACTACTACTAGTAGTACTAGTAGTACTAGGCCTACTACTGCTACTACTACTACTACTACTAGTAGGGATGTTACAAAATATTGAGATGTCATAAATATACCCTAAAACCTTTGCCATCTGAAAGAGCATGACAATACATTTAATTTGATACCTTATTCACTTCCATACTTTTAGGCTTTAGTTTTAAGGAAGTTATGGTAATTTTCATTTGCATAAATTTTCATATTGATCCCCATTGGTTTTCTATTGTGTTGAAACAAAAGTTGTGATCGAGGATAACCTACGGCAACTGAAGAACAAAAATGCTCATAACTTTCTTCAGGGTAAAGAATTCTATGTGAAATTTGTACAAAAAGTAGATTGAAGTATTTTGGATCAAATACATGATTTGTCTTTATAACAATCACATTTAATTACATAATTATTAATTAATTAATTATTAATATGCCGCGCCCGTTAGCCCTGAAATCGACAGGGTCTTACTCAGGGTGTTGCGCTAATTCATTTTACCAACAACTGTGTCGCTTGCACTGTTTTTTTGTA